TTTACAAATTAATACTGAATATTTGATGATTACAAGAGACTAACTGCCTTCAAGAAACTAAGCAAAGTATTAAGAAATAGATAAACATCCCGAGAAACAAATAAATGAATGATGATCCGATATCTAAAATCTAATCTTCTAAATAACAACACAGGTGATAGAGTTTCTTCACACCTGAGGAAGAGAAGAAAAAAATGTTTATCGTCATACTCAGTGGTAAATGTTGCATGTGAGCAACGAGCATGTCTTAAGACAAATAGGAATTACTAGGAGACTCACGCTTATAATCCGAACTAGATAGTTGTAATTTCTGGAAAGCACCATGAAGAAAGAATTCAAAAATTAACAGCCATGAAAGGCAAAAGAAACAAAGAAAACATCTATTCAATTATTTAACATAATTAATTTATTTCTCCTATGAGCCGTGTCAATTCAGGACGTTGGCGATCATGACAATCTACAATTTTCTGTCATTTGTAGTTCTGAGTAAATGTTTTTTGCATTAACTGTTCTAAACCCTGATCTGCCATTCTCCATCAGGTAGGCTATACGCTGTTTTCCTCTGTCCATTTTCCTTCAATATGTCCTGTCAGTGTCAGATTTTCCAAACCCTCTTTCCTCATTATGTACCCTAGAAATTTCAGCTGTCACTAGATTTTAAGTAAAAGTTTCTGATGTTAAGTATAAGTGTCCTTTTTTTGTTTCCATTTTATCTAAAACTTCGCTGTTACTCACATTCTCATGGTATCCTTCTGTAGAACCAAATTTGTGTTGCTTCAGATCTGTTCCTAGTCTGTGAGGCGTTTGTCCGTCATTCATTACCATGGGTAGACGTAACACTTTAGTAATCTTTACTTTGTTTCTAAAGATGTTTAGCTGTTTACTAATACTTTGGTTAGCTTGTGTAAGACATCTTTCACTATACGAAAACGCCGTCGGATTTCGGAGTCACACTTTAAAAAACAAGAAACCCCCCTCTAAAAGGACGTGTTACACAGAGAAAGGATAGTATTTTTTTTAACTTAGGAACATAGCAGATTTTAGATTTAACTTAAATATAGCAGATTTTATCTCTTACTTATTTAATATAAATATTTTAGGCAAATTTACGTGTAAAATCCAATGATTGAATCAAAAATTGCATAAAATTTTTAACGTTTTCCAGTCGCATTATATACAATTGAACCAATTTCCAAATATTGTTAGTTTTTTCATTCTTTAGAAAAAGTAAGGTTTGCATATGTATTAGAAATATTCAACTAAATATATGTGAGCGTGTCAAATGTGCGTTCTACATACGAAACCATTTACAATAAAACATTTATAAAATAAACGAAAATCAAAAAGAACATTACAATAACAGTCAAAAAAGTAAACAAACCATCACGCAAATGTATTGAAATGCTCAGAGCTTTTCAACTTTTGGCTAACTATTTTTTTCAGTAAAAAGAATATAATTGAATTTTCTCCTTTGCCCCCAGGCAGAAATGGACATTTGTCGTTAACTATATCCTAGTGGGAAATCTTTTTATAAAACCATAATAAAATTATTTTAAAGAATGTACATTTATATAGAAAAATTTTCTTCAAGACGCTTAAATCATGATACAGAATTTCCAGAGAAAACCCAATGTAGATAGAACTGTCATTCTGTTTAGGTTATACATTACTGCCAACAATAGGAACAGTTCAGTTAGAGCCATGTTGTATTTTCTGGTAGCAAATAAATTAAGTATAGTTATTACGCCGAAAAGAAAAATAAAACAAAAGAAAAATGTCCATTAGCCCAATGCAAGCTTTCCTGAAAATGATATTATTGCATAAAGAGCGCATTTATGCCGAATAAAGAATACAGCTTTAACTAACTCGAGGTTATTGTGGAAGTAATATTCAGTAAGGTGTACGATTAGATGTTCCATTGCAGCTTTGTAATTACTGTAAAGTGGACACAGATGTACATATATATATGTTTGTCATGGTTTTAACAGAGTGAAGCCTGTGGTTCTTGACCATGCCCATCATTCTTTGAACACTGGACTAGCGCTACAGAAAGCAAAAACTAAATTAGATAGCACATATAAATCGAAAACATTATAATGAGATTATAATATCTGTTTTATAATGGCACAATATCTATTTTATAATAACACTAGCAGTAGAGCCCGGCGTTGCCTGGGGATGTAACAGTAAGAGATAGATCAAGTATTGACCATAATAAAGACTGGAAAATAAAATTGACAAAGATTATTGTTTAAGGTTGACGGACACGCATGTCTTAATTAGTTTTTTTTTTTTTTTTTTACGAATTGGTCAAACCCAAACTCAAACAAAAACATTGTTTTCAATCGTTATGAGTCTACCGATTGAATAGAATTTTATTATAAACAACTGCCTTGTAAATGTAATTTTTAAAGCATTCTGAATGTAAAAATCAAGAAAAAGTGTACAAGACAATAAGAAACACTACCTGCCAAAAAAAGTGAAGTTTTGTTGAAATCGGTTGAAAAATGTAGGAAATCCGATCCCATATATAAACGAACACACACACATACACACAAACAAACAACCTGGGTTTTATAATAAGTAAAACTCGATATGAGTTGTCCTCCTTTCATTCTCACGACAGCGATGCCTCTTACTCGTGTTTTCAAATTGATTTCGTGCAAAAACAATTGTGTTTTTTTCCAATTTTTGGCGCTGTCAGAACCACCGCAAGGTAGTTTTACGTAGTCATGTGAAGTTTTGTTGAAATCGGTTGAAAAATGTAGGAAATCCGATCCAATATATAAATGAACAGACACACACACACACACACAACCTGGGTTTTATAATAAGTATGATTATAATATCCATTTTATAATGACATGGTCAAGTTATTGACGTTCCACATTGCTTCAAATAAAAGATTAGTAAAGAAACCTCCCTCAATGTTAGAAAGCGCGATAACAGACTTGAGAAACGTATTCTTATAAAAAAAAAGTCTTGTTAAGAGAGACATTTTCTAAGGTAATAGCTTCCCGGTCAATGAGCGCCGAATGTTTGTTTATACCGCATCGGCTAATATTACAATTAACATTTTCTAGTTATTCTCTTTCGGCGAATTTTGACCTGAATACTTTATTTAATCTACCGGGGTAGACTGTTCTAGAACTGCTCACTAGGGATATCTCGTTTTTAATTATTTACCGTAAAGTGTGACCTACAAGTGCCTGAGCGGGGGTCTGTAACAGGGATTTACTAAACACTCTATTTTATTAGTATACTAGACAACTAGAAGCAAGCGATTACTATATGGGGATGGAAGAATGTCTCTCCATTAAGAAGGTGTGTGTTGTACGTATTGAATATATTTTATCTTAATATTTGTAAATGAAAAAATTGATGTTAATTATTACAAAAAGAGCTAATAATCTTATTTTTGTTAGAGATATAATAAACGAACCAAAGTCTATTAAATAAACTTAATTGCTTCATATCTGATAATAGGATTGAAATTATTAACACTTAAACTACTAATTATAAGGTTATTGTTTCATATAAGTTACTAAGACCGAAGCTATAACTCTTAAACTATTAAAAATGAGATGTTTTCTTCACATAAGATAATTGGAACGGAATTATTAATTCTTAAACAATTACATGTAAGGTTATTCCTTAAGATATGATGATATGACTGAAATTATTAACTCTTAAACTATTAAATATGAAGTTATTGTTTCATATATTATAATAGGAAAGAAATTATTAATTATTAAATATGAGGTTATTGCTTCATATATGATAAGTGGACCGGAATTAATAACTCTTAAACTATTAAATGTGAAGATATTTTTTCGTATATGCTAATAAGACCGGAATTGCTAAATCTTAAACTATTAAATATAAAGTCATTGTTTCATATATGATATGAGGACCGGAATTATTTACTAATAAACGATAAACTATTAAGTTATTTTTCTTATGTAATGTTAAATAACACAAACCATGAAGTTATTTGTCTATCTTTCTGAGATGAGGTATTGCAATTATTTACGCTATTTACATTGTTCGTATTGTTGCCCTCATCTTCGTTGCCATATTCACGACGTTTCGGCCGTCATACGAACTGGTCTTCTCCATGTGGACACATGGCCTAGTGAATAAAAGCGTTGTTTAAATCCAGTGGCAAAGAGGTATAAGATCAGTACCTGGTTACAGCTGAGGAGAACAAATCATTGTAGAGTTGCATTAAAGGCAGAGACATACGAAAAAGGTATGGTACGAAATAAAGGCTTCAGTTCGAAATTCTAATCATCTGAATAAGTTCGTAGCGTAAAACGAAAAAAAACGTCGTGAATTTGGCAACGAAGATGAAGGTGAAGTTATTGTTTTCTTACGTAATAATAGGACTAGAACTATTAAGTATTAAATTATTGATTCCAAAATTGTCACATATCAAAATAGCAGAATCAAATTCATTAACTCTTGAACTATTAATTATAAATATATTTTTATATATAATAATAGGATCAAAATAATTAAATTAAAGAATAACAAAAGACAATGCTACTTTAAATATGTTTGCCTGCTGTCGTAATTGATAAGCAAATGTGTTTTCTTCTGCATCCTTACAGATTACATGTTTTACCACCGGAAACGGTTTTCGTTAGACGAATGTTTTTAAACGAATGTCGCCATTTACTTCCGGGGTAGAAGCTTGGAAGCAAAACTAAAAATTACTTATAAGAAAGGAAGGAATATAGGATAAGTGCCGCATATTTTGTTTTGGTTTCTAAAAAAAAAAAAATATTTGAGGTATCATTTTTGATGACACCATTTTTTTTCCTCAAGTCATAGTTCTGAATATTTTAAATTATGAACACCCCGGTCTCGCAAGGTATAATAGTGTATAAATATGAATATAATGAAAAATTAATTAGAGATTTACTTCGCTTCTATTTCATTAATATTTAAACACTGTAAATTGCACTTTTCTCTTTCTCCATTCCTTTCTGATAAGAATGTCCGTTCATCTCTGCATTTCTTTTCTTTCGTCTGTCAGGCATTGTGCTTTATTCAAACTGTAATTGAAAACCCTTCCTGATACGGAGATCACCCTGTCGACGGGGTCATTTATTTCTAGTCATACTTTAGATTTAATAATAATCAAACAACCAAACAACTGTGATATGGTCAGTTTGTAAAGTACTAAGTAGTGTATACAAAGGATTTTCCTTAATTAAAAAGTTCTTGGTTATGGAAAAAAATTAAACATTAAGCTAAGGATTCTAAGATCTATGCTAAATTGGAATCCCATGATAAGATTAAATTATAGAATATAATCGACCCTGACCTGTCATCTCGACATCAGGCACTTCCCCTCTGTCCTTTCTGTGTTCATGGCAATTGTTCTGATGAACTGTTCTGCTCAGTGCCTCGAATGCATGAATTTAAACGTGTGACTATATTGGTAACTAAGTCTAACCTATTTACTGTTGAACTAGCCAGGTGCCACTGTCAGTTCGATTCTAATGGTGTCTTTTGTCACACTTCTGTATAACTCTCATTCTATTTCTTACTTCCCTGTCACCTGCAATCTTCAAAAATCAAAATCTGTCTTCCTGAACGCTGTTCCTTTCTTGTCCTTTTCCTCACTTCTCACTAAAGTCTTATTCTCTTTCTATTTGACTCCCTGTAACCCCCCTGCGTCCTAGTGGCATTATCGCCTTGCCAAAAGGACAGTTTTTAATATTATTTCACCTCAAACAAGTCGGGAATACCACTAGTACGCAGGGGGTAACAGAGATTGAATGAGAGAGAAAAGACTGAGTGTAGGTTGCATTGAGGATAGGATAAAGGCGGAACGGGGTTCCAAACGAAAGAAGATGGCGATTGATGTTTCATTTAAATGTATAAGATTTTAATTGTTATGGAAGCACGTAAACGGAAAGGAGTTCTGCATGCATGAAGTGCAAGAAAAGAAACTGCTAGTGTTGAAGTGGCGGTTAAATTTAACTATTTCAACAGCAAAATGATGGGACCTAGATGCCAACCTAGTAACACACGTATCTTTATGTATTCGGAGCACCAGGGAAAAAAAGCTCTTCAGAGCATTTGCCATGAAATTATTTGTAGAAAAGACTGGGGGAAGTCAATCCACGTCGGTGAGAAAGTAACTGAAGTCCAGATGTCAAGTCAGGATAGATTACATTGCATACTTAACACCATAAGAGAAAGTTGAAATATCTAGGGCATATAATGAGAAAAGAGGGCTTGGAAAACCTGATACTCACTGGACAGATTGATGACAAGAGGGACATAGGAAAGTCATGCATAGCGAGTTTGGGTAAATGAATGGTAGAACAGAGATAACAAAAAAACATTTATTAAGAGCTACAAAGGACAGGAAATGGTGGAGGACCATGCTTACCAACGTCCTGAATAGACACAAAGCATAGAAGAAGAAGAAGAATTCAAGGACGAAAAGAAGAAGAAGAAGAAAAAAATAGAGAGAGAGAGAGAGAGAGAGAGACGACAATAACAACTGTAGACATATCCTGCTGCAAACGCTAAGGCTTCAATGGTAGTACTGGCTAAAATTTTGTCAACATAACACGAGAGTGCAACATATAGAATGCGAGTTCGAGTCTTGTCAAATACGCTTCATTTATTTTTTTTTGTTTTCGCCGTTTACTTTAACCGCCAGGGAATATATTATTAACGAATTAAGATGAAGCAACTGGAAGCGAAAAATAAATGCAGCAAATGATTTACATCTCAATACATAAACAGAAACGTGCTTCTCATATGAATCTAGAAATTACTGATAAATTCCAAAGAAGAATCTATAATATTATTGCTCCCAACCTGGCATCTCGACATCCATCACATTTCCACCACCGTAACGTCGCTTCTCTGAGCCTCTTTCATAAATATTTTCATGGCAATTGTATTAGAAACAAACAATTAAAATGTGGCGCAGAAATTCGAAGATGCATATACAAAATGGAAAGATGTCTGTCAGGAAATAAATAGATCATATAGTATTAAGAAAATATCGTTAGAATCAGTAAGAGTGCTGAGCCGATATGTAATATATATAATTTCCTCTTTGCCAATGACTGGCGAGCAATCTCTTCACAAGATGAAGAATTGTATTTATGCGATAGATATGTCGTTCGAACAACGGAGTCTGAGATGTCAATAGAGAAGACATATCAATTTAGTGCCTTAATAAGCATAGTATCAGAAGCAGCCCTGGAGTTATGAAAACAACGTAAATCTCTTCCGGGTTTTCTTCCTTTCGAAGTGCGTGACATGAACTTTTCCCACTGAAGCAAAAACGGCTGTGGACGCTTCTCATATAAACACACCTACGCAGGCAAATCACACTCAAATGCATTCATTAACCTTTCCGTTGTGTATGCAATTTCCTTCTAGGAAAATAAACTCTTGTCTTAATCTTTCCTTTTGTTAATTTTGTTTAATAAAGTTTATCTTTATTTTCTTTTTTTAAGCACTTCAACCCAAGCAAGGCGGGAGTGCCACTATCACGCAATAAGTTACAGAGAGTGGGAGCAAGTGTAAAGAGGTGTGATAGCGGAAAGGATGAAGAGAAGGGCGGGGAATAGATCAAGGCATCTGAAGATGCGATTGAAATTGCATTTGAATATTTGGAGATTATAGCTATCAGGGAAGAAAGTAATAGGAAAAGAGTTCCACAGAGGAGAAGTACGAGAATGAAGCTATTGGAGTAGAAGAAACGGCTACATTTAAACATTTCGACAGTGAAAGGGTGGGACTGGGATACCAACCTAGTAGCACGTTTAAATTCATGCACGTTGGGAACCAGAGAAAGTAGCTTATCGGTGCAGTCACCGCGAAAGTATGTGTAGAAAAGACAGAGGGAGCAACGGTACGTCTGTGAGAGAGCGACTGTAAGCATTGCAAATCATTTAATCTTTGTTATTTTGTGCATGCACCTTTTCACCACAATTATCTCATGTAAAATATTCGCGTAACAAACATTAATTATAGAAGTAGTCAACACACTAAATCAGTATTGCGGAAATATTATGGAAATATAGGAATAACAAAGCAACTTATACTAACAATAGGAACGAGACAGTTAAACATCCTAAACAAATAATGAGAGAATGTTGCCTGATGAATCTAAAACACATTAGGTATAATGAAAATGTGAGAGGCATGAAAAACGACGAGTAAATTATTTAACATATTTATGCGAATAGATGGCAAATATGGAAGGTAAAGATTGTAGTTTTTCAGAGCAAAAAAAAAAAAGAAAGAAAAAAAACATGAATTTGCGTAGTCATGACCATCCATATCATAAAAAGTGCTTGTAATATTCAAACATTGTGTTTTTTCAAAGTATGTTCGACGCTTTGAACATTGCATTTCTGTATTTATTTTAGGGTTCAGAGCAGATTTCCTATAAATGGTGTTTCTGTGTTATAAAAAAGAAAAAAATCAATGATTGAAAATTATACATAAAATCAGTTACTATTCATCAAATAAAAATTCACAGATTTTATTTTTGAAAGATTTTTCAAACCGAGAATAAATTTGTGTTATGGATAACCTTGACGATTTTACTGAAAAAAAAAATGAAAATCGATTTCAATCAATATAATTTCTGTTCGAAATATACAAAAGTATTTTGCTTACTGGGAATAATAAATGTAATCCATTAGATTTCATTAAAGTTAAAATGAATGCTTCAAGAAAGCTTGTTCATTTTCTAAGAATAATTTAAAACTTAGGTATCGTGATTTTTGTGGAGGTACTTAAATATAATTGTCTCTGTGTGACTAATGACTACAGGAGACTGACTTTCTCTCTCTCTCTCTCTCTCTCTCTCTCTGTGTGTGTCTGTCTGTCTGTCTCTCTCTCTCTCTCTCTGTCTGTTTGCCTCTCTCTCTCTCTCTCTCGCTCTCTTTCTCTCTCTCTCTCAAACGTATCATTACGTTTTATTCAAATCCGGACTTTGTCAATTACCGCCGAACAGTGTAGTTTTTTTCCCCTGGAAGTGTCCATTCCAGACGCAGCCGTACCGATGACATGTTCACATGTTGGGGCAGCCACTGACAATGGATGAATCAGGGTTCACCAATACCGACTAAGAGCATATCCCTCGCGTCAACCCAGCACCTGGCCTCTCTGAAGGACACTGCGTACAAAGTCTAATCTAACTATTTGTAGTGAGTCATATACTACAAATGTATAGAACAGTATTAATGCTAAAAATACGGACATATTGAAATGGTATATTATGATATACAGTAATAAATATTAAAAAAAGGACAACAAAAAGATGGACGAATAACATGATTAATGAAATAAGTCACCATAGAACGTGAATCGAAACAATAACAAATAAAAACCAAGAAAATAAAATGTAGAAGGTAATCTGTTTTCGATCCTCGCTCTTCTGAGCCAATCGAAGACAAAAGTATAAATTATGTGCACAACATTTAAAAAATCCATTCAATTATTGGTTGATTCATTGATTTTTTACGGCTAATCAACCATTTTCACGTTAATTCAAGCCAGAAAATATCTTTAGATCGTATAAAATCTTTTGAGGGATATACTGATTTACTGATACTAATTAGCCCTTAACTGGGGAGAAGAGGTGACCTCATACTTTTCCTAAGAGTATTTCCACGTAAGTGAATAAAACGAACCCGACTGGAATTGGAACTCGGTTCTACGATTCCCAACCCCGAGTCGTTATCCATTGCATAAATGAAACATTCAATACCTGGTATTCCCAGCCGATCACTTATCTAGGTACTGACCAGGCTCGATGATGCTTAACCAATAAATTATGGACATCGATTCAATCATTAGAACTGTATTGACAGTCTCTGTTTCTGTAAATGTTTATTTTCCGCTGCCATAATTAACCAAGATAGTATGATGCATTGTATATGCGTTATTCTAGAAAAAGCTGCGATCATTCCGATAAATCCGTTGATGCTAATAAACTCCGCTAACATTTCCTCAACAGCAGCAGGTTTTGTCGTCACCACCAAAGCACTTATAGTGTTAAAGCAAGAAAAGTGACGCGCAGCAAAGGTCGTGTTATTTATGAAATAGATGTTCGTTCTTTTTTTTTTCATTTATACTTTATTTTGCCGCTTCAATATTGTTTTGCATATTGACTTTCATTTTCTGATCCCTTTGATCTTACAACCATGCTAGATCCGTACTGAGCTTCCACTAATTTTATTAAAAATGCTCCACTCACAAATATCCTTGCTCGCTCTGTTATAAGATATTTGGCAGGGTGATTGATATTTGAAATTTGCATAATGAACAAAGACAACGGTTTTTTTTTCCTTAGGAAAGGGCGACTGTTCCGATATATTGCTGATTATCGGCCTTTGTACTCCCCTTCAGATATTAAATGCAATTAATGGATTTTTTTCCGATGTTCTGACTTTAACAGTTGCTCCTGCAAAAGTCAAAAGCAATGGATTAATAAGTCTGTAACCTTTTTTACTGCATAATATTCATCCGTTGACATTCGAATTCGTCACTGAATTAAGTGATATTTTAAAATAAAACGAATATTTTTTACATTCGAGCATTCTCATCGTTTTAGTTATTATCACGTTTCTATATTTGTATACTTCAGACTTTTTCAGGTGTCAGTCGATCTGGGTAAGCTTTCGGGAATTTTGACCTGAAAACTTTATTTAATTTACCGGGGTCGACTATTCTAGTTTTGATCTCCATGTATAGGGATGCCTTGGCGTGCAAGTCGATCTCAAGATTTTTAGCTCAAAATTCTGTGATAGTCCTATGCCAACCCTATAGATTTACCCCCAATTTGACAGTGTTACAAATCTCGGCCTACCGGTAAATAAAGTTAGGCTGCAGTAGACGATAACCAGTGCCAAAACTATATAAGGTCACAACACTAGCCGTAAAATATTTCTATATGCTTTGTATAGCAACACACACCTGTGTGAGTATATCTAGTAAACAGGAATAATGTGTCATTAAACTGTCATTATTATCATGAAATCGCGCAGATGACACGCATACGATACCTAGTCGTTTGAATGGCCGCTTGAGTTAAACGACGCTTCGGCCAGTGTTTACACAGTGTATCAGCTGTTAGACGCAATATGCGCTCTACTGCTAATCATATACTAAATTTGTCTTATATTTCATTTATTTTATATTAATTTGTACGTTAATACGCCAAGAATGTTCCCCCAGACACAAATTTAATGAGATATATTTTTGTCTGTTGAAGTTATGGTATGTACAGTACAGTAATTGCTATCTCACTTATTTACAACTTTACGCTGGTAAACCTTTGCATTTTATACCCACCATATAAGTCGTGCTCCAGTATGGGAAATATTCTTTAGGCTTAAAAACTCGACTTATACACCGCAATTTACGGTAATACTGCTCAGTTATTACCCTCTCTGTTTCCGCTGTCTAATAGATACTACCCAGACCAGGGATTGGGATCGCAATTATTGTCAGCAAATTTACGAGCCAACCTTTCTCTTTTTTTGCTGTTGTTGATGCTGCTGCTTCTGAGGCCTAGCTGTCTCTTTCTTTATGCAATAACTGAAGAGTAATAAATGGTAAGGAGATAAGACATCCCTAAACATGGACAGCGGAACGTGAAAAATAGACCACTGTAGTTTAAATACAAGATCGAAACTCTCTAAAGAATACTCCGGGAACCTGTACAGCCGAAACCTTGTGATATCTACAAATATGATGACATCATTAAGAATGTAAGGAGAAATTGATGCAAAAGAAACAGTATGCTGAAAGAATAATACTCATGTAAAATATGTTTTTTATCTTTAAGCTTCGGGTTATTGATAGGCCTTCGGTCGGAAAAAAAACACGCGATCAGTAAATAAATGAATTTTCTTGAAAATTTCTCATTTTTTAAAATTTAACCATTCGAATTGAAAATGTAGTCAGCGGAATCGAGGAAAACTACTCTTAAATATGATCTAACTTTTCTACTCTTTTTAAGAAAACTTCAATTATAATAAAATATTACCTTCAGACTATATAGGGTAATTACCTTATTAAGCTGAAACCTTTTCAAAATAAGAGTAAGCAGCCATAAGCAAGAAGCAAACATTTAACAAGATTTTATAATGATATCACATGTAAAAAAAAAAATTATTCTGCGTTGTACTTAAAATATTTTTCATGATTTTATGGGAAAAATCGATGAGTCTCCTACCGACCTATTCCTTAGGTTATAAATATATTTAATGAGAAGTTTTAGGATAAAAAGCAACAACAAGAAAATGAGCCGAAAAGAGAGAAAAAGAAAATTAAAATAAGGGAAAAGCAGAAAATAAAAGAAAAACGTTAAAAAGAGAGAAAAGAAAGTTATAAAGGAAGAGCAAAAGAGAAGGGAAATCGACGGAAGAGCAAACACAGAAATGAAAAGAAATAGAATGAAAATAAGGGAAAAGTATAAGAGAGAAGAAAAAAACACAAACGGTTAAAAAAAAAAAAGTACATATAGAAGAAGTGGAAGAAAGAGGAAATATAAACAGGATAGAGTGGAAGGGCACACACGTAAAAGAAAATAACGGGTGACAGAAAAGGAGTTAACAAAAAATAAAAACGGACAGAAGATGACGATGAAAAGTGGAAATTAAAACTAAAAGAAAATAAAAAAAATAATAAACAAATAATCATGGCGAATAAATTGAGAAAGGTTAAGGAAGATGAAAAGGGATAAGAAATGAGAATAAAGGAAAGAAAGAAATGGATGCCGTTGAGTCAATAAAAGGAAGAGAAAAAAGATGATGAGAAAATTCGAAAAGATATGAAAAACAAAAGAGGATAAACAGGAGCGAAAGGAGAAGACAGTGAAAAGGGGAACAAAGTAGGAAAAAAATAAACGACGATAAAAAGAGAATCGAAAGGAGAGAAGAAGAGGACGAAACAGGGAGAAGTAAAAGGAGGGGGTGCTAAAAAAAGAAAAGAAGAGAGATAAGAAAATGTAGAAAAATGTAGAAAAGCATGAAGTGAGAGAATTTAAAATAGGGAAAAATTTAAGAGAGAAAAAAGTAAAAAAAAAAAAAACAAATTAGGGAGAAATAAAGAGGAATTAGAATACAACCTGATTGAAATTACAGGAAACAAAAATAAAGGATAAATAAATCAACCATGAGAATATCTATGCGCATGCGCTATTAGGCGCATGCGCGTTGCCGATATGTGTGCGTGAATGATAAATATCTTTCGTTTGATTTAAAAACATGTCGTGCGTCACCGTTAATTCTACTCGATCAGGCAACTGAATCAGTGCCTTCCATCCACACTCTACGTTGTATATACATTTATTCTTCTATTAACAACAAATACATCAGAAAATGAATACTCGCTGACATTTTCAAAATAACCTCCGAATGTTAACGCCTTGTCACCAAACCATAAAGCCTGTTTCTCAGGGTCCAATCATTCATATTACAATTTGTTGTTTTAGCAGAGGAAAAAAACGTCATGTTTTGTGTGTAATATTAAAATCTTTAACAGGAAAGAGTGGATCATCGGATACTTAAGAGTTAATATGAACATTGTTTAATTTACGCATTGCATGGCAAGAGGAATTATCAGATTTTAAACGGTGTATGATAGTGGGTGCAACGCAGATTGAATATTGCATTTCTGAAATTTCTGAGGCAGTTGACATCTCTCGATCTAGTGTCTCGTGTGTATCGTTAAATACTAGATATAAATTATTACTACACACCGTGGGTAGTACAGTGTACAGCCATGACAATGATTGTGATGAGAGGCTTCTGGCTGGAGCTGTCTGCAGTAACATATAACCGACACTGTCCCAAATCATATCTATATTAAGTCCATGAGGAACCGAAGCATTGGTACGTGACCAGATCCCAAAGCACTAGCAAAATTGGTATTCTTCAAAGTGCTATGATTCCAGTTGCGGAAGGATTCGGGTGTAATGCAGACACGATGATGCCATGGACTACAGTTGCTAAAAAAGCATACAAGCTGATAGTCATCTCCACTGGTTCACCTACACATGTTATTGACCAGGTAGTTATATAATGTATTGTTTCGAGAATATTTGGACCCATTTTTGGACTCAATATATGGGAAATTCTAGTGACACCATTTCCATAGTAAACTTTTTGGAAGATCTTCCAAGTGATATGTGTTATGTCGAGTCTTAAAATAGGCTCAGGATTTCGGAACTGATCTATTTTGTCTAAACTTCAATTATTCGTCAAGTTATGATATATTTTTACATTGATCAAATCTGGTACATGTTTAATAATCTATTTTATGATTAGTTCTGTATATTTGTTTCTTTGTGATTTTTTTGCTATAAAAGACACTGTAAAATTGTTTAAATGGATGTTATAATTGTAAGGCAGATTGAAGTGGGTATTCTTTTTAATAAATGCCTTGGCCTGTATCGAGTTGATTTGGGGGCCCAGAAACGGAAATTTCCCTCTAATTAACACAAACTTTGCCACATTTTGCTTGCCTTTTATTTCCTTTATATACATATTATCTACTGATTATATATATATTGTTTTTGCTGCCGTGTATATATATATATATATGTATATATTTGTGGGTTTCTTTATCCTGTTTTTCTTTGCCTAATATATAATGAAACTATTATCAACTTATATGGTTAATATATATGTCGAGTCTTAAAATATTTATATTGATATTTATGGTTTTAGAATTTTCGTTTTAATATATTAAATAATATTATTTTAAACCATTTTTATCTTTGTATATTTGCTCCCTTAAGTTATAATTCAATAAGTGGTTAGCATTTATTTAAGTCTGAAATATTTATTGGTTGTGATTTCTCATTGTCTATGTCATTGTCTGTGGATGTATGTATGTGTATATATCGGTGTCTATGTGTATGTAGAGTGTATTCACATTTAACTGTGTGTGTGTATAAGTGTTAGTTTCACGTCTCCTTTTTTTCATAAAGGGCTGTAGAGATGTTCATGTATCCCCACCTCCTTTTTTTTTTTTTAGTTTGTGTGTGTGTGTGTGTGTGTGTGTGTGTGTGTGTGTGTGTGTGTGTATTATGTGTGTAATTTATGTATTATAATCTGATTGTGTTTTTTGTTTTTTTACGCGAGTTTAAGACCACATTCACAAACTTTAAAATAAAAACGGAAAAGAAAGGGAAAAAGAAAAAATATATTTATACATGTATTGTCAAATGACCGGATGTATTGTAGCGTCTTGTCTTGTCGAACGTAATTTCAATGAAGAAATGAATTGAATAAACATATATTTTTTCTTTTCTCAATAATTTTGTCGTTTTTAAACTTAATAGTGATTAAATTTGGTTTTTAAAATTGCCAGTTTTTAATTTTAATATTAAATTTTATCATATAATTTTATAATTATTAGTTAGTATAAATTATTTTTAATATTACACGTATTTAAAGATCTGAATAGCTATTATAGCAGGATTTCGTTGTCAAGCTTTTGAATCTTTCTATACTTCGTTTTTGATTGGTTATTCTAGCTTTTGTAACAATGTTTCCCTCTAGTGTAGGATCGTTAATTAATCTGAAACTTTTAAAACCATTTATTTTATTTTCAACATCATCACTTGATAAGACACAGAGTGTGTTGAAAAAAAATGGCTATTTTTGTAGTGATTTTATAACATACTTATGTTATAATTTTTTTATAAAAATAATATATATATATATATATATATATATATATATATATATATATATATATATATATATTATTTTGGGAGAATTTGCGCCCATTTTGGACTCAATATATAAGAAATTCAGGTAGGATAATGTATCATTTTCACAGTGGTCTTTTTTAGAACTTCCCAAATGATATGTGCCAGTCTCTAAGTGAATAGTCTGAGGATTTTAGAACTAGTGTCAGTTTCTCCAAACTTCAACTATTCGTCAAGTTTTTTTTTTTAAATTAATCAAGACCACCGCATATTTAATAATATTTTTTTTTAGATAATCAATTCTGTATACATAGGTTTCGGCCACTTTTTCTATAAAGTTTTCTGAAATCTTGTTGAAATGAATGTGATGAGTAACAGGCAGGTTGAACTAGGCACTCTTTTTAATAAATGCCTTGGCCTCTATCCAGTAGATTTTTGCGCCCGGAAACAGAACTTTAATTGTAATTAACACACTATTTTGCTATATTTTAGCAACCTTTTTTTTCTCCGACTTGCCAACTTCGAATAACACTGACAAAAATACCCTAAAGAAACCTTTCTCTCTTTTTCAGTTAATAAATAAATGAATTGGCACAATGTAAATTGATTAATAACCGTATTTATCATTTTCCTTTTTTTTTATAAGATTATCAATCATCAGTTCGTCTATTTTAGCAGAAATAAAGCCTAAATGTAAGCTCCTTTCATGAATTTAGGTTCTTTACAGAGGACCAGGGTTTATATCCCTTATTTTTTTATAATTAGTAACGTGCAGGTTTATTTTAAAATATTCCTTTTAAGTAGAATTAAGAGTAAAACAAGACCATAATTCCGCTGAAAATCATTCAGGCGGTTTCAAAACTAGAAATATCTGCCTGGTTCTATTTTACAAGCCAACTCTGATATAATTGGGTCCAAATTCCTGAGAAATTGTTTGGGAACTATTCTGGAGACTTACTGCGAATAGTATGGATACCACGTTCGTCGGAAATGCGTCCAACTGAGTGTTTAAGTTTACTGGATGTGAAAGACAGGTCTCTTAGCAAGCAAGAGCCAACACCTAAATTTATCAGGTAGCTGAATATTTTAGGATTTCATGGCTTAACATCTCTCCAGAGGTATTCTGCCTTCTTTGTGGAATCAAGCCCTCGATTTGTTTAATGTCACCATGCGATAGTGGGTCCTGCATTTACTAGATAAACAAACTATGACATTTGGCACATCAGTGTATTTATACTTACATATCTACAGATGACGGATTTTAAAATTTAAATTATTCATTTTCCGTCAAAGAATTTTATCATTTCACGATTCAATAATTTAATAAATGTTTGTTTCCTTCATTACATGAAAGTTGAATTGGAAAAGTATGTCTTCATCTCTGCTAGTTAAATCTACGCTAGAAATGACAAGAAAGACTAAGCTGTTTAGGCTAGAGTGAAACAATACGTAATTGAAACCGATGGGAGAGGCAATGTGAAATTCTTCCAATATCTTTCCCAAAAAACCATGGCAATTCAAAATAATAATAAAGAATAGTAATATGTGAAGAAATATAACATCATTCGTCTAAAAGCAAGTATAAGCAACCTGTCTCGAGCAGTAGGCCACATGAACTATGACTCACCACAAGGCAAAACTTGCCCAAAAAGATTCAACATAATTTTCAAAGTATCAGATATTTTCAATACAGAAAACCATATGCGTAAGTATACCTTAGAAATGGAGGAACATTTTTTTTTCTGAAAAGATTTTTCTATAATCAAACAAATTGAACTCTTAGTATAATATTAACACATATGACAAGGTGATTAGCACACGTCGCTTCGTGTAATTAATTTATAATTTATTCACTTGAAAACAGAAAAAAAAGTATATTTCCTCTTCAGAGAACAAGTGTTATTAATGTTTACTGTTTCAAAACCAAAAAATGTTTGCACGTATTATCTTCCTTAGTAAAAATCGCCAATGGTTTAAAATGATGAAAACGTTATATTCTCCGAAAGTTTACAAAATTCAAGAAACATTGCATCTTATCGTTATTTATATATGTGGATAAGCATGAGAGAGTCTGTGAGTGAACAAGGAAAAAGATGGAAAATAAGATTAGAAACGTTACTTCCCTTTGTGAAATTAAGTGTGCCATTCAGCAGAAAGACTAAAACGGATCGCAGTTATGAATATCTTAAAAGGACGTAGTAGTTAAAACGTATAAGTAGACATAGTATAATATTTAAATATACTCTCATTCTAAAGGGTTTTTTTCAATTACTTCTCCTCGTTAAATTTTACATGTGTTTTCTCTTTTCTGATACACTTCATAACCTCTCTCTCTCTCTCTCTCTCTCTCTCTCTCTCTATCTATCTATCTTTAATTGCTCTCTTTATTTATCTATTTCAGTTTCCCCCCTCTGTATCTTTCTTTCATTCGATTTATCTCACTGACTCGCTCCTTCAATTTCAATTTCTCTTTCTCTGTCTTTCTCTTCTATTTTTCTCTCTTACTCTATCATTCAGTTTCACTTTTCAGTGTTTCTTTTTTCATGTCGTTCTCTGTCCCTCTCTTTCAATTTCTCTCTCTCTCTCTATCTCAGTCTTTCAGTTTTCGTCGTGTCTCTTTCTTTTTCAGTTTCTCTTTTCTTCAGTTTATATCATTGTCACTCCTCTTCAATTTCTGTCATATTTTTTTTTCTTTTCTCTTTCTCACCGTGTCTCCCTCTTTAAATTGTATCTCTTACCCTCGCTTTTAATTTCTCTTTTCAATCTCTCTTTTTAATTTTCTCTCTCTGTTCCGCTCTTTCAATGTCTATCACTGTCTCCCTCTATCACTTTCGTACTCTATCGCTTTCAATTTCGCTCACTTGTCACTCTCTTTCAATTTCTCTCCCCCCACCACTCTCTCTTTCATTTTCTCTCTCTCTCACTTTCCGGCTCTTTCAATTCCTACTTTTAGTTCCTTTTCTTCCTGTATTAAAGTCTTTTAAGCGAAAGGTTTTCCTGCTTTTGCAACTTAACAACATGATTGATGCTACCATCTCGAACATTTAATTAAAATACCATAAGTATTTAGTGTCTAAACAAATGTTATTTCATTCGTATAATATTCAGGAAGTAGTTCATGTAAACATGGAAACACAATACAAATTGCTTTCTTAATGTATAAATAAAATTATGTCCTTAGTTTATAACTAAAATGGAATTGCAAGATTACTTAAATCAATCCATCGTTCTAAAAAATATGGCTAAACAACGTAAGAAAAAAAAACTGGATTGTTTATCCGTCTCTATTTCTGAGATGAGATATTTTAACTATTTACATCGTTCGGACTGTTGTCCTCATCTTTATTTCAATATATATTCACGACGTTGCGACTGTTGTACATTGGAATTTCAAAAAGAACCCTTTATTTAGTCCACATGGCTTTTTTTTGTATATCTCAGTTTCAGTTAATTTGCTTTAGTGACTCAACTTTCAAAGTCATTGTTCCCTCTACGCGGTGAGGTATTTAACTCATAACTCTTTGGCTCAAGTCAAAATCAACCTCCATTGAAGGTTCGGTTCGAAATTCCAATGTATATCACCTGAAGAAGGTCGTCGCGTACAACGGCCGAAGCGTCGTGAATATGAAAATAAGGATGAAGACAACAGTCCGAACGATGTAAATAGGGATTGTTTATGTATGGGTAATCTTATGAAATCTTATTTCCTTCGTATTTTTTCTAAATCCAGCGGCAATCGTTAATCTCTCATATCATATTGAATATCTACTTGCCGCTTCACGCAGGCAGGATGAGACCCCAGGTTAGTTTAATGGAGGAAGCCCGAGCGCGTGCACAGATCTCAACATAACCCAGTCCTTGGTTGCGCTGATATAGGTATTAATATCGAACACCCTCCTCTTTAGTGCAATGAGGGAGGTGCACTCGCGGGCATCTATTCACCGGAACCGGGCCCCTCTGAATATTTTTGATTGCGCTTTACTTGAAGACAAGGACACAACTGAGACATGCTCAACGATCCACAATATCTCACATGACACATTCTTTCTCTCCCATTACTGCTTGGGCACTTATATAATCGCTATGACTTATTTATGCTGACCGGGCAGTCATTTACTTATCAGTACAGATAAACGTTAAAATACGTCTCTATCTCACATACTCTCTGTCTATATCTATCTATCTATCTATCTATCTATCTATCTATCTATATATATATATATATATATATATATATATATATATATATATGAAATGCATTGTTAGTCCATATATCCTTTTTTATAGCCCACAGGTACTACACTTATCTTATGTAGAAGGCCGGTGAGGGACATTTTGATCAAAGCTGATGGTGGTATGAAATGTTGCTAAATATGTAAATATCATCGTTCATTTTGTCTGTAACTATTTTAGTTACAATATAGATAAAGTAAACTTTAATCGATCGAGCAGAAGTTGGTGAAAGCGTTTTGTAGCTGAGTAATTTTAATTTCACTTATTTGTTCATTAGAAAAACGTCAAATATTATCCTATTATAAAACGACATCTGTACAAAAACACTCAACTATGAATTGACACTTCAGAAATTCTTGTAAAATATTTCTACCTTCTCAGCAAGCGACTATATGTTGAACAATAACAATTGGAACACAACAGGACTAAAAGTATTTTAACCTTCCGTTTATTTCCCCCTAGTAACCAATTTTTATTCAGCGATCAAATTTCCGAAATCAGGAATCGAGTAACACAGCGTAAAAGATTTTCTAAGTTTCTCCAAATGCTAAATGCCAATAATGGTAAATGCAGACCCATTTGACAAGGCTGATGGCGTTTTCCTCTTCGGAGCAATTTGATTTTACCATGGAAACGAATTTAGCTCAAGTGGCCGAGCAAGAAAGTAGCAATCAGGAATATTTGATTTAGTACCTACTTGCAGAAAGGCGTCAGTGATTTCCTTACTGCAGGAGCGAATTTCTTCCCTTTTGCAGAATAAGACACAAATTCATTGACTCATGCCAAGGAAAGCGGCAAAGTGTTTCGCGTAAACCGACAAACAAAATAAAATAGTCAAACATCAGATGCTGAGAAGGTAGAGAGATAAGTAAGCTGTCGTATGGACTTTCCAAAGGGGATGTAATCGAGAATTTTCAATAAAACCGAAATTATTATGATTGTTCTTGTAATTTATTGCATTAGATTTACGTTATTTTGTCTTCCACATTGCATCTATAGAAGTCCTATAACTTTGACCTGAACAAATATACATTTAACTGAAGAGTACATAATACAATAAAACAGGACAAACTAGGACCTATGCTCTTATGATCCCTCTTGTGATAATGATAAAGTCAAAAATACAAATATAAACCATGAAAATAGGGGAAACTTGATGTGGTGTAATGGTTAGCATGTTTGCCTCGCTAGCTGCATGAGTTGTGCGTTCGATCAAAACACGGTGCTTTAAACTTTCGGCCTTCTGCTACATTTAAGATATGTTTTGTAGATTCCAGAAAATCTGACAGAAATGTAGTCTTGTATCAAGTACAAATGCTCGCAGTATAAAAAAATTAAAAAAAAAGGAAATTTTCTGTTAAGTCACCTCAAAATATTAATCTACCCCCAAATAAAAAGAATTAGTATTTACTAAAATTCACACCAAAATCGAGGCCACACCCTTGCACGTCGATTAGGTTGACCTTTGCGAGCACTCTAAATGATCGCTCAGTTGCGTTATTTCTAAGTGGGGGGCGGCCTACTTTCGCCGATAAACAAACCAAAAACATTTTTTTAATTGTAACAAAAATTCCTTGTAATTACCTCGAATATCTTCCGCACTTACGAAAGGTTTTCATTATGATGGTCGGAGTTGTTGAGAGGCACGCTAAATAAATTTTAATTTAAAATTTATAATTTCAAGACAGTGCGAAAAGTTTAATAAAAAAACAAACTTCAATTTAAAATTTATAATTTCATGTGGTGAATAAATATTTAGAATAAGTAACTTTACATGATTTGGGTGAATTAACAGAGGAGATACTTATTTCAATTCCTTCATTTCGGGTTTTTAAACAGGATAATTTTCACCTCTGCACGATTGTTTTATTCAAAGATTATTTCAAATTTCTCACCAGCAATATTCCGAACTGTACTTGTATTTGTTAGCAAATGTGTCAACATTTCGATGATGACAGAAACGAAAATAAAAACAAACTGCAAGACATTTGAGACAAGGTTGTAAAAGAAATCAAGTAAGGACCAACCATCAATTATAAGAAGAACAAACGTATAGTCGTCAGCAAGAGAAAAAAATCAGGATGCTAGCTATGAATGCAAAATCAAGCAAATACACAAATATAGCGTGCGATGGAATCTCCTGCAATTTTTCTGGACGGTCTTGTTTAAGTTGGTGAATGGTGCCATAATCCTTACCTCCATTTCATCTTTGGTGTTACAAAGAGTTTTTTTTTTGGTCTCTCGCTCAACTGTGCCCCACACATAATGATGAAAGGGTTTGCAGTCTGGGGAGTTAGGTCAGATGTAATGGGTGATGTGGTCGTAGAAATTGTCTGACAGCCATGACCTGATTCTCTTGTTTGCGTGGCATGGTTCAGATTTCTATTGGCAGACATAGTGTTTGCCAGCAGCCACCTTCATGACCCACGGCATCACTACCTTCCCAAGGCACTTAATCTAGGCCTCCGTATTGAATCTGAGTTGGAAGATGAATGGAGGCATAACATCGCCATCATTAGAAATCACCCCAATCATAAGTTCCAATCATAATTAGACATATCCAACTTTTTCTAAATCCTCTGCACTGTCCTCAGATTGACATCCAAACTCTCTGAAATGTTCGTATTGAAGATTTCGGCGCGAATTCCAAACAGTAGAGTATGCCGTGTCTAAATTTCTGGCGGACTGACTTGCGTTATAATGCTCTTTTTCTCAAGAAAACATAAAATGGAGACAATTTACCCATCGCACTTCGTATACCTATTTGTGAAAGTTTTTTTTTTTCTTATTGATTAATTCAGTCATACAATGTGGGAGGAAGAGGAGGCGGGTTCATGCCTTTCCTAGCGGTATTTGTGCGTTAGTGAATAAAACAAACCCAAATGGAATTGGAACCACGATCTTGAAGCGGTCACCCATCATGTTACTGACCAGGCTTTGACGTTGCTTAACTTCGTCGTGCGTACGGAAACGGCTGTTTCAGCTTTTAATAGATTTAGAATATTACATTGAAATATGCTGAGGCAAAGGAATAGCGAAATTTGCCTTCCAAAATCTCAACAAAGCATTAAGAGGATAATTGAGGCAACAGAAATTTAGTTCTACAGAAAGATGCTGAGAATGCTATGGATCGAGCATGTGAACAATAAGGACATTTTAATAAAAATTAAAAAAGAACACTTAAACTCGGAAAGAGGGTTGGAATTCATTAGACATATAACGAGAGAAGAGTTCTTGAATTTGATACTCCATCAAATGTCAGAGGTTAAAAAAAAAAAACAGCGAATAACCTATCTACAGTGCTGGGGTAAATTGATGGTAGAACAAGGAGTGAGTGGGATAGTAGAAAGACAAACGTTGCTAAGAGGTACAAATGATGGGAAGTTGGTTAGAGCTATAAGTGGAGTGGCATATAAAAGAAGATGACCTGAAGTAATTAATATATCTATTACTTTTAAAGTAATTCCGTATATTTTCCTAATAGTTCTATTAACTATTAGCGTAAGTTCTATGCTGAAGGTTTCGTCTATCACACTTGTCGCT